ATAAAAGAGATTTAACTTTGATTGAATAAAAACTAAAAGAACAGTTGAAAAACGATAAACCGATTGAAACACACATTTATTCTGTTTTAATTAGTTCAACATTTGGGACACAGACTTCTGTTGGACAACATTTGCATTACAAATATACATTAAGAACAGCTTTATCATTAGCTGATCATCAATATTGCAAATCACAACTGTTTGATAAAAGTGTAATAAAAGTAAACGAAGAAAAACTAAAGCAAATAAAATATTATGTAGATAATGACTTTTTAATTAAAAATGATCCAAGTACAAGTGTAAATATACACCAAAATGATTCCTATATAAATCTTATAATAAATCAGAATACTTTGAAAATACAAGTTGAAACAACAGATCTCGTATATAAAAATTGCAAAAACATACCACTACATAATGAAATAAATGAGCAGCTGAAAAGTAATATTGAAAATTTAAAAATAGATTTCAGTTTTTTGAATTCACCAAAGCCTTATGGTAGTAATTATATGGATGTACAGCAAGGTACCGATAAATGGCATGAGCAAAAAGTATAAAATTACTGCAAGTCGACTACCGGCATTACTAGGGCTACATAGAAATGTAAATTATTCATTGATTTGAGATGTCGTCAAAAATGGTACAAGCACTCCTGATATGAGCCATATAAAAAATATTCAACGTAGTATCTTATATGAAAACATAGCAATAAAAAACTTTGAAAAAATTAGTAAATGCAAGTGTAATGATTGTTCGCAAAACAATTCCCTCTGGAAAATTGTTTATAACGCTTTTGCAAATTGCACGGAAACTGGTTACGAAAGTATTCCCTTGAGAGAATTCCGCATGATGAATTCTCGCTTAAAAGCCGTTGCGCTGAACGTAATGACAGTTGGAGTTTTGACACGAAACTACACATAGTTTTATATTTAAACTAGTTGTAATAATTTAATATACAAATATTGAAATAAATATTAAATAAAAACCAACGTTGAATTCTCTTCATAATAAATTATTAGACAAAACATTACAACAAGATTGAAAAATGTGGATTCTTTGATCACCCTTTTGATTAAAAGTATGGATGCAGCCCTGATGGTTTAGGTCCTTGCAGGATTTTATTAGAAGTAAAAACTTGTGCACTATTTACCGATGGGCCCTTCTCTTAGTAATCATCGCCAATATTATGTTCAATGTTAACTTCAAATGCAAAATATTGCGTTTTACAGTCGTATCACCCTGAAACAGAATCCTCAAATTATTTTCTGATTTGTCGTAATTACACAGTTATGCAAATTATCAAAGGTCATAGATTCTATCTATCACAATGATAAGATATTAAAATGGGATCATATGGAAATCAAAGAGTTCAATAATTTTTCAAAAGCTATTATTGGTCAAATTCCAGATTTTTTTACCCTGAAACCGTTGCGAACAGTTATTAAAGCAATCGCTAAGAAAGTACCTATTATTTGTTTTGTTAATTTGATTTTAGTATTTTATAATAATATTTAAAGTTACTGAATGTTATTGACTAAGTATCTTAGTAATTATTTTTTGTCAGGAATCAATTTTAATTTCAACAGTTTAAATTTTCAATATTAACACCTCTCAAAATATTCAACTATGGGTTTTAAGAGAAAAAACTAGCAAATACATAACTAATTAACCTGATGTTTAAGGCAATACATCCCAGCTAGCACACATACGTTGTTAAAACATTAGAACAATGTCGCGCGTTTCGTTGGCCCAACATTGGCTGCCAACGTTGTTTTTATATCATTATGGTTAAAAATGCGACGTCGCCAACAACTAAAAACCAATGTTGATAAAATGTTTTTTTAAAGACGGAAAATTGTTATATTTTCTACGTAGTTACAACGTTTTATTTTAAACGTTGGCACAATGTTGTATTTTAAGTTGCTACAACGTTGTATTTACGTCAATTCAACGTTGAACTTTAGTTGGCAAAACGTTGTATTCATTATTATTCGGAATTTAATTTTCATTAAGTTCTATTTTCTTTATATATTTATATAACATATGCACATATAATATATAATATATATATAATATATATATATATGTATATATATATATGTGTATATATATATATATATATACATATATATATATATATATATATATATATATATATATATATATATATATATATATATATATATATATATATATATATATATATATATATATATATATATATATACATATATGTACAGCCGACGTAAACATAATATATAAGAGAGTATATTAAACTGATAACGCTTGCTCATCGGAACAAAAGTCATGTTTGTGTTGATTGTGGTTTGATATTTTAATAATCACGCAAGATTTTGTTTTATTTATATAATTTTGTAATAGCTATATTTGGTCGAATACATTGGATCAACGTTGGGTTTAGTTCGTAAAAACAATCAACTTTTTGCGATGTATTTACATACCTTGGATCAACGTTGATTTATGTTCATTGAATCAACGTCGAAATATATACATTAGATCAACGTTGGGTTTAGATGGTGAAAACAATCAACTTTTAACGATATTTCTACATACTTTGGAAAAATATTGACTTATATACATTGAATTAATGTCGAGATATATACATCGGATCAACGTTGGGTTAAGATAGAAAAAACAATCAACTTTTTGCGATGTTTTTACATACATTGGACCAACGTAAATTTGCCAGATGTTTTTAGTTCCGTCGGTAATAATTTTATCATTAACCAAATGACATTAGATCAACGTTGGTTTTGCATTTGAAAAAAGAGCCGACGTTTGCAGTGGTTTTACATACGTTGGCCCAACGTAAGTGTGCTAGCTGGGATAAATAGCAAATACATAAATAATTAGCGTGATGTTTAAGGTTTTTAACAAGCAAAGGTTTGAATTCACAATTTAAAATTTTCGTTATCTAAGAGGATAAAATTTGCTTTAGGTATCATTTTATTTATGATATATGTATACAAATAAAATTTATTTGATCTTAAAAGCATTTATTATACAAAATAAAAACGCGCATTAAAGATTTTAAAATCAAAATTTTTAAATATATGTTTTTAAAAATATATTGAAAATTACATGTATAGTACTTACATTGAAGAGGAGTATGAATGTCTAAAAATCTTGTTAAAATATTTTCAAAGTATGGGCACAACAAGCATAAACTTTTTAAGTTACAGTAAGTTAAAATCCTCTGCGATATCCTCCAATTGATGTTTTGATTGACAATTTTTTAACCACACTTGTTGACTCAACTTTCATAATTTATTAATTAAAGAATTAAATTGTTATACGAAAAAATAAAGTAGAACTCATAATGTGTGTTAAAAATACCTCAATTTGGTTTGTAAAATAAAAAAAAGGTTAAAAATAATTTTTTAGTTTTATGTTTGCATTTTTATGTAAAGTTTTTAAATCAATAAGATGCTAGTAGGTAATATTTCAATCATTGTTATTATTACCAAAAATATATGATAACGTCGCACAAAGTTATAAAATAAAATTTTTTTTATTGATTTGAAAAAACCGTTATAACCGTTTTTAAAAATTGTTGAAATGTGTTAAACAACAACAACAACATCAACAACAACCTATTCATTTTCCATTTTAAAATCATTTTTACAATAATAAGGTAAATAATAATAACAATAATTATAAAATAATAAGCAATAGTAATAATTTATAACAATAATAATAATAATAATAATAATAATAATAATAATAACAAAAAAAATTATAAATAATAATAATTACTATAATAATAAGTAAAATGATATGTTATTTCTTAATATAATAAGTTAATGATTAGTATGGATGGTGTCACTCATACAAAAGTCTGACCAAAGGAGTGACACCATTTTTCAAAATAATATGACTAATAATAAACATATAGACATAAAACATAAAACATAGACACACATAAAGTAAACTTTTTAAAAATCATATATGTAGGTAATAATAAAAGAGAAAAGAAAAACAAACAAAAAATAAAGATAATTATTATAGTAATAGAAAAAAATTATAACAAAATATTTTTCAGAATTTTTTTTAATTGGTTTTGATTAAGATTAAGAAAAGATGACAAAGGAGTTTAGAGTTGGAGTTTAGAGTTGGAGTTTAGAGTTGAACTCATTCACAATGCACACAAAGCTCTTGTTCTATTCACAGATGAAACAAGAGCCTTGTGTAAAGACTCTTTATAAATTAGTAATACAAAAAATAGATGGTAATAAAAGAAAACTTAACTTTGTTAAGATGACTTTTTTGAATTTTATAATTCACACATGTTTAGTATGAGTGTTAAAGGCTTATATTGCTGTTTTAAAATTTTATATAATAAACCCTAGTTATAGAAAGTTTTATGTGGGATGCCAATAAAGGGGCTGTCTATTAATTACGTCAACAAATTTTTGAAATTTTTACCTCCCCCCTCCCCCTTGTCAACAATTTGTCATTTCCAGAGACTTCAACTTTTGATTACCCCCCACCCCCCTATACAAAGAAACTACTCTAAAAACTCAACCTAATTTTCCGTTATTTAAGCAATGAAACTCAAAAAAAAAAAAAAAAAAGAATTGTTGACGTTAACTCTAATTGACCTCCCCCGTGTCAACAATTGTCAAAAAAGTTTTGACCCCCCTCCCCCCTACTTTGTTGACATAATTAATGGACAACCCCAAATAACAGTGATTATTAATATTCCAATTAGCAGAGTGTGGCCATTAAAAGATAAGAAGTAATAAAATTATGGGGAAAAAAATAACATGAGCAAAAAATATTTGCAAAATGTTTATTCAATAAATAAGTAGAAGCTAAGAATAAACCTTTTCGCTTTTACTCTGTAAACTCCATACATAATTATTCCGCGATGCCGTAAATAACTTGAAGAATATTTTTATATATAGTTAAAAGAAACGGTCCGTTGCGCAAGCAACCAGTCTTCGAGTGGTGCTTTTTATGATAACACTTTTTACGTTTTAACTTAGAAAATTTGTTGTAGATGTTTAATTATTATAAAAATATTGTTTTGATTTAAATTTGTATTAAATTTTTGATTACGTGTAATATAGGCACATAAATTTTATGATACAAAAGACCCTAATTTTTTAAGAAGAATCTTCAACTTTCAGGTAACATAACTTTCAGTTAATATTTCGCCATCCTAATAAGTCATTAGCTTATTATCACAAATCATTTTATGCTTAAAATTACTATTACTATTACTATAATTTGTATTTATTTTGTTATATTATTATTATTATTTGTTATATTATTGTTATTATTACTATTGTTATTATTGCTATTATTATTAAATAATAATAATAATAACAATAGTAATAATAACTATTAAGTAAATAAGAGTTAAAAAATATAAATATATGCCAGTACTTAATAATTAGAAAATGTAACTATAAAACTATAATATATAAAATATTTTTAATATTTTTCTAGCCCTAGCTATCAACCAAATGGCTATCAACCAAATGGCTATCAAATGTTTTGTCACTTCCTAAGTATAAGTACCACTTTATGGCCAATTTTACTGCAGGTTGACTATATTTTATGTACATAAACTAATTAAATAAAAAGAGCAACTCACATTTTTATATTAAAAAAGAAATAAAAAAAAATTAAATATATGTATATATATATATATATATATATATATATATATATATATATATATATATTATATATATATATATATATATATATATATATATATATATATATATATATATATATATATATATATATATATATATATATATATATATATATATATATATATATATATATATATATATATATATATATATATATAAAGCAACTCACATTTTTATATTAAAAAAGAAATAAAAAGAAATAAAAAAAATATATATATGTATATATATGCACATAAATATATATATATATATATATATATATATATATATATATATATATATATATATATATATATATATTTTATTTTTTATTTATTTTTTAATATAAAAATGTGAGTTGCTTTTTTTATTTAATTAGTTTATGTACATAAAATATAGTCAACCTGCAGTAAAATTGGCCATAAAGTGGTACTTATACCTAGGAAGTGACAAAACATTTGATAGCCATTTGGTTGATAGCCAGGGCTAGAAAAATATTATTTACTTCCAACAAGGTTGCAAGCAACCACTATTTTGTTATAAGTTACTTTAATATAGAGGATATTGTTAAAAGCTAGGAAATGGTTAAATGAAAAATTAAAAAGTTGTAGGCTGTATATAAGTCGATGTAGCAGCACACTTTGCACCAGCAGGCTATAAGATAGTTAATGTATGTACTGAAGCCCTTTCAACTTTTCCTGTTTTTGTCTGATATAATCAATGTGTGTCTAATGTTGCATATATATATATATATATATATATATATATATATATATATATATATAAATCTTCACCATCTGAAATTTACTGCCAGCGCACAAAAAAGCTCTGGCCAGATAGTAAATATTTGTCTGGCGTGCGCGATTTTAAAAAATTATTTGTTTTTTGTACCTCTTTAATTGGAATTTGATTAAGGAAAAAGATTTCTTGCAATTTAAAAACACACTTAAAATATTTTGGTTAGCGCTTAAAAAAAACCTAGCCGTAGTATTGGCAGGCGTGTGGGCGAGCGGAAAACTCCAAAAGCCTGAAAACGCTTGTCAAAAGGAGAAGACTGATATATATATATATATATATATATATATATATATATATATATATATATATATATATATATATATATATATATATATATATATATATATATATACATATATATATATATACATATATATATATACATATATATATATATATATGTATATATATATATGTATATATATATATATATATATATATATATATATATATATATATATATATATATATATATATATATACATTGGTGTACCAACTTTTGGTCGGTTACCAGAAAGGCGGCTGAAAGTAACCAGTTTTTTATTTTTGGTCACAGTTTTTTCAGGTCATAGTTAAATTTTAAACCGTGTTAAAAATTATTTAAACTAATTTAACAATAATAATTTATAAACTCTACATTCAGTATTTTAAAAAGATTATATTTTCCTAAAATTTATTTCTTAAAACAATCTTATACTTAACATAATCTTTTGTTTATCACAATTCATTCTAATTTTAATGTATTTAATACAGTATTTTATAATTTGGGCAGCAGGTGCCTGCATGCTGCCCAAATTATTTTTATTTTATTGTAATGATTGATTTTTTTGCTTAACGCTAATACTTCAAGCTTAAAGGGATTCCAAAGTGCAGAGACAATTTGTATTCATAATAAAAAGAATGATAAAAAAAATGTTTTGGCTGAACTTTTTTGAATAAAACAAAACAATAAGCGTATACCAAGAAAAACTAGCTTTGTTGTTTTATATAAAGCTTGCCGTCTCCATGTCAACCAGATGCTTCAAGTCTTTAAAATATATGCCACAATCTACAGACTTTATAATTTATTCAAGCACGTTTAATTCCAAGGAGTTTTAGTATATGGCGTCATTTTTTTTAAACAATTTTTTTTTCAATCAATATTATTTGTTTTTGTTTGATTTGTTTTTTAAAATAAGTGTGTACCATCAATTGTATGACTTTCCCATAAACTTTATAGGAAGAACCGATAAAATTGAGAGTTGTATGATACACTCTTAAATATAATAAATATATAAAAAAGACGTTGATCACCTTATTATATATTCTAAATCTTTTTTCTTTTTTTTTTTATAAAACAATGTGAACTTTTTTATCTAAGTTTATCTAAGCTGTTTATCACTATGACGTTTTTGTTCTCCTATCGAAATGACATTTGATTAAAATTGAAGAATTTTTAAAAATTCTTAAATTTTTGATTAATTAATTTTGCTGAATCAGGTTTGGTTAGGAAGCAGGAGCGATCACTCTTGATTGCTGACCACAGAAATAATATTTAGTTGCGATAAACTGGCCAGATTTTTTAGTTGTTTTGAGAACATTTAAGTTTATCTATCTTTCCATGTTTGTTCGAAAAACAATTGTGACGTTAATTGTTTTACATGAATTTAAAAAATTTTCGTTTTACAGACATACATGAAAGCATACATAAACTTGAATGTTCTCAAACAAAAAGTTTATGTATTCGTGAACACTAAAAACCAGCCAAGTCTATGAAGAAACTAATTCTATTGATTCAAAAAGTATGCTGACTAAGCAAAATAAAGATCTAGAGTATTCTGAACTTTATTTTGCTTAGATCTTTTAAACTATTTTTATTTGTTTACAAAAATAAATGTCTTAAATATATATATTTCAAATTGTCAAAGTTTTAAAAGTTTATTATATATAATAGATTTTATTAATATATTCTTATTTATTATTTAAAAAGGATTTTTTATGTAAATGTAATTTTGTGTATCTGTTTTTTATGCTAATGTAATATTATAAAGCAGTTTTACATATACAGTTTTACACCATATTTTAACAACTAATCCATTTTCTTCCGTGTACCCGATAACTGATTCTTTCCTCTAAGAAAGAAAAGTTTTTAAGTTTTTAGATGTTCGTTTACTAATTCCAATTATTTTTGCTTCAGTTGCCATTTTTACAAACTTTTTATTCTTAAACTTAAAGTTACTTTTTTTCTATTTTAAAAACCAATTAAAATTAAAAAGCCCACTCACTAAACATCATCAGCGGTATTGTGAAGCAGTTCCGCTTCCTCTTCATAAAGTATTTTTAACCTTTTTAGTTGCTTTCTATTTAATTAATTTAATTTCTACAGTAACTCAATGATTTAATTATTTCATTTGTTCATCTTACTAAGAAGAATATGTTAAATATTTCAAATTATGCGAAGCATAAAATAGTTATTAAAAAAATTAACTTTTTTATATATAAAATAATTTAGCTTAAATAAAACTAAAACTTGCTTTAGTTTTATTAGAATCTTGTTGGACTTTTCGGGACCGGTGACTAATTTTATTTTGGAGGCCTTTTTTATTTTCCACACTGTAAAAATGGCTAAAAAAGAGGTCTTCTTGACTATATCAAGGTCCCTAACATTGCGACACCCAGGACTATAGCCTCCTTTAACCCACCCCTCCTTAATCAGCACTAGAAATAAGACACGAGTATATAAATAAAAATTATGTTATACTTTATGATAAATAAAAGAACATTTGCCTCTTTATTAAGCAATCGTAAGATGTTACTTTATATGAAATATGTTGCTTTTTTTGCTAAAAAAAATTATAAAAGAGCAATGTTTTGAAAATATTTGTTTTAAACATAATTTTTTTTTTGCTTTTTCTGCGTTAAAAGTTATTTTCTTTTTTTAGTTTTTTTTTCAAAACAACTAAAAATGATTCAAAGCAGCGCGCTTTAAAAAACATTATATTTCAGGGTGTCTGCCAAATCAGGGAAAAGTCAGGGAATTTAGATGTCTTCAAAAAAATCAGGTCAAGTTTTTGAAAAATTAGGGAAAAATCAGAATTTTTATTATTTATCTTATTTTAGGAGCTCTTTAATTATAATTTTTTTTTCAACACTCAGTTTAACTCTAAGAAAAGCAGTTATTTTTTTTGAGCTCCATTAGTAGCTAGCTTTTAGTGATTACCTAGTACTAACTAACTAGTAGTTAACTATTTGATGTTATTAGTTAGTTGTTTTTGTTTTCTTTAGACTAGAACAAGTTTAAGTAAATTAAATAATTAAATAAAACTTAACATATTTTGATGATCAGTGGTTACTTATACCAGAATATAAAGCTTGGTTAATGTTTGGGATACAAATACCTAAAAAAAAAACTATCGTGCCAAAAATGACATTAACAAACTAACTCCAACTGGGTCTTGTAGTCTTCATTCGATTCATCTATTATTCAAAACTGGGGAAAACAAAACTGACTGGGGTATTAAAAAGATTTTAAAAGCTCTTTATAAACTTCTCTATAATTCTCCTGCAAGATGGGAAGGCTTTACCATTATGACTGAAAGTAATTTCCTCTTCCTTTTTGTGGTACTCCATGGGTTGATGATGAAAAGGTGGCTTAAAGAGCTGTTAATATTCGGGAGAGCATTTGTAAAATATGTAGGTTTTGGGAT